TTCGTGGATGGATACTTTATCCCCAAGAATACTATCGTGGAGTGTAACTCTTACAGCATGCACCGTTTGGATGAGAGCACATTCCCGAACACAAACGAGTTCATTCCCGAGAGATGGCTGGATGCCGAAAGCCACACTGATCGACAACGGCTATTCTTCGCCTTCGGGCTTGGTCCACGGACCTGCATAGGCCGACAGTAAGTTTGACTATTTCAGATGCTTCAGGTCTCAGGTGAAGATGAGCGAGAATTATACAGATTGCTAACATGATGTACATTTTGTAGTCTTGCTGTGGCCGAGATGAGAGCTTGCTTGAACGCGGTGTATTCCAAGTATCGTACCATACCCGCCCCGGATATGCGTTCAAGCATGGAGATGGATGACCAGGTCCTAACATCTCGTCCACGAGATCTGTGCTGCAAGATTCAATTTGTGCCTTGGGGACCCGAAGCATGATGTATTGAAGTATCTTCATCATATAATGCAGACATGAGGTGTCTATGGATATGCACTCCTACAGCTCACTCATTTGCCTCACAGTCGAGCTCATGTATGAATGAATATTGTACCCAAGAAAATTTGCAGGTATCAGTGGTGGGATTCCAGCATTGCTAAGTTCCGTGTAAACTTGATCTCTCATAGGACTTGGTACAATTATTCGCATTATTATTTGACGACGCTCAGCTTTTATCTATCGTCATGTCTCATTAATCATTAAACCCGCCCAAGCAAGATATCCGAACCCATCCTGAGTGAACCCATATACTCAGCCAGCATTCCAGTACATGTCAATCTCCTTGATCCTGAAGACCGCGTCTTGGGACGGCGGCCCCGCACTCCAGTACTTGTCGCCGTCGGCCCAGTTGTTGAACACCCAAGTGCCAGCCACGGATGGAACGTTCTTCGTCGAAGTCCAGACCAATTTGCCATCAATGTAGAACATGGTCTTACCAGGCACCCAATCCAAGCGGTACTCGTGCTCAGTAGTCGTCGGATTGGCTGGCAATGCGACAGGATTTGTCGTCTTCAGGCCACTACCATCCACTGCTTGGTTTGAAAGCCATAGATAACGCGTGCCGGATTTGGAGTTGGTAGTTCTCGCTGCATCGGTGTTGCTGTTCGATTGGCCATTTGATAGGAACTCAATGTCCGTCTCTTGAGTATCAGACTGGTAGAAGAACATTCCTGGGCCATTATTAGCATGCGGCTTGGTATACTGGGAGGATTCAATCTTACCGTTGCAGACTCCAGCCGGCTCAGAGAGAATAGCAACTGTCCGAACAGACGCGTACTTGATTTTTGACGTGGTCGTAACCTCGGCCGATCGAAATGACTTGTTCTTTACCCAAAGTTGAAGGTATCCCCCGCCAACAATCACGTTCGCGGGTGAAAAGAAGTATGTGTCAACTGGGTAATTGCTCATTTTCAGTCCCGCAGGAAGAGAGGTGGCCTTGCTGAAATCATAGTATGAGTTCTTCTGGAAACCGTATTTGCCGTCGACCATCCACATTCCTTTCGTGTAGACGCCTCGCGCGGACCGTTGCGCGGTGGCCAGGCCTGAGACAAGCAAGGCGACAAAAATCGATAATGATGGATGCATGATGTGGTTGGAGCCTTGTGTGGATGGAGAGTGTACCTCTTCCATCAATACCCAACGTCGACCCCGTCATATATACCGTTTGACGCCCTCAGGACATGTTCTTGGAAGCGGCCGATGATCGTCTTAGACAATTTTCTTGGTCCACGGCGTGGCGCGCTCCCGTGCGGGCCAGACGCTCTTAGGGTCCCGCGGCAGTGGCCGATGGCTATAGCTTCACGGCTAAGACATTCACAATACGCCAGACGAAATCGAGACAGGTCCGGAGATTTTGTCTGCCCGGCCGTTTTCGGGGTGTGCTTAGCCCCAAAGCGGCATTCCAACGACGCTTTCACCACAAACGGCCAGGAAAGCTCCTTTCATCCAGCAGCCGGGAGCTTGGCCAGGCTGGTGATTTTCAGGGTAGACGACTGGGCATGGGTGGCTCAGCATGCTTGCGGCTCACGGCATTTCCAGTCCGACCAAGCGAGCTACAAATTTTCGCTTTCACCGGGGGCCATACAAGATGAGCACTCAACACCGTCGATCCAGAGACCAGCCTAGTCCAAGCTTCGTCATCCGGCCGCAAGAAGACCTAGATTGCGTCAATTCATATGTGTGCCAAGAGCGTAACATAAAGGAAGAAATCAGGGTCCAAGAAGACCCTACATCTAGATTCATCACACTGTCGATCCGGCTTCGTCTCTTCAACGGTAGATGTCATGTCGCAATTTGATATTTTCAAGAATGTGACTGCGCCTCTTTTGTTAAACGGCACGTCATGGTGTCCCAAGCCTCGGCTACTGCACAAGTGATGTGACGATGCAGGACCTGGAAATTTGCATCATGTAACATTAATGGGTACCCCGGCAAACCCGCCCATGAAGTCTGGGTGGATAAGCCACATGCTAAGTGAGCCGCAATACACACCTCCTTGGTCTTTTGTGGTGTCTGGCCTCGGTCTCGGTTGGCCACGATGCGGGTCGTACAAGTCGCATGCTGGGCAAGCAATCCACAACTCATTCGAGTTATCCACTATCCTCGATAGTCTAGTGGTGAGGATATCGGCTTGTCATTAACACGATTCGCCGGGGACCGGGGTTCAATTCCCCGTCGAGGAGATTTTCTTTTGCTTTTGTGTCTTTCAGAGTAGAGCACCTCTTTGACGGTTGTTTGTAACCGTCTTTATTACCCATTCTACACCAATGGTTAATTCCCACGGCTTTACACGCCGCACAGCTTCTGATGTGCAGCATTTTATCTGTATAATGATGGCCTGTAGTTGCAGTTACTGCTTGGATTGCGCTGGCCGTACTTTTTTTTCATCATGATTGGCTTGCGACGCAGACAAAGCGCTGGACTGTCGTTTCGGAGTCGCGTTTTCGGCGTCCTCAAATGTGCTCATTTGATCCGCAACGAAGACAGGACAGCGAACGGCAGGATGACTGCGATAAGTCAACAGAATCCGTGTTCCGGGTGCATCAACATTCCAACAAGTGCCATGGCCCCGCCACCACCGGAGCGGAGAGGAGTGACGGGGGCACGGGCCCAGATTCGGGTGGGATTCCGTAGCCGAGCGGACCCGGCGTCCGGGGTTAGTACCGAGGAAAACGAAGAATGACTTGCAACAACGAAGAAAGGTAACGAACAGACTTTTGGCTCAGCACCGCAGGTCTTAGTATAATTCTCCAAGTCTATTTGGAATACAACGGAAGAACACACTTTCTCTAGGGTGTACAAGTCGCAGATTACCCTAGATTTCGTTGTCTTTTCGGCCAATCCCATGTAACCATTTTTAATGGTTTTCTCAACCCTCCAAGGCTTCTGCAATACTTAGGACATACTTTGACAAGCTCAAGGAAAGTTGAAAAATCTTGGCAGCCTGCTGCAACTTTTGAAGAAGCTGGAATGGGACACCCTTAAAATCTGAGGCTTGAACGGGCTAGCCGAGAGAGCCAGGAGCGAGCAGAGTGCGCTAGGTCTCCGCTTAGCACCGGAGACTATCTATCAGCCACCGCTTTATCGTACCTCCGTTCAGACCATGAAACTCGTCTGGATCGTGGGAAGAAGGCAGTGTGATCCTGCAGGTAAGCTGATGTGATGTCTGAGGACATTTGAACAGCCTCACTTAGTCCACCAATCCGCCTGACCCAACCCATTACTGATTATTTTTCACGAGACATCACCACGACGCGTTTATATAAAAGCGTCTACTTACCCGCATAACCTGAACAGACTTTTGAATCGGCATCAGTCTTAATATACACTCGGCTTTCTCTCCTATACTTTCCTTATTCTCTACCTATCTCGTCGCTCTACGCTAGCCCACAAACCCTATTGCAACCCACGGTACCTCCACAAAAATGAAGTTCTTCGCCGCAGTCGCTATTATTCCCACCATTGTCTCTGCGCTGGTCATTCGTGCGGCTCCAGCCCCGGCTCCAGGAAACAACTGGGATGTCTACGCCCAGAACACAGCTCAGCTTAAGTCTCGCGGCCTTTGCCGCGCCTATGTCGGCAGGGACAAACCCGCCAAGGCGGTCTGGGGTGCCAACATGTGTACCGATGTGTGTGCACCGGCGAAGCAACTGGCCAAGGATCAGAAGGTGTTCAGCGTCACTTGCTTCGGCTCCGGACCTGCGAAGGGCGACTTCCCTGACCCGGAGGGCTACCGTTACAATCTTGGACAGTGCAAATGCAATGACCCGGTCATTAACCGGATAACCGAAAAGATCGTCGTGGAAGGCCTCCCCGCCCTCGGGTTGGTCACCTGCTCTGTTTTCAAAATTGCAGTGACGGAGACTTTTGATCTTCTTACGGGTGTTGCCCGCGGCGCGCTTGGAACTGGCACGCAGACCTTGGCCAAGGTGGCGAAAGCACTCATCAAGGCTGGAAAGGGATCGTCGGACTGGGAGGCTTACGTCAAAGAGCACCTTGCGGCTGGGGATGCGTGCGATTTCAGCGCTGCTAAGCTATTCAACGACTTCAGCAAGCTCACGGACTATAACATTGCCAACGTCATGTAGATGGGACACCGGTGGTTCGCGACAGGCAAACCTCGACCTAATTGCGGAAAATACGTTCCACAGTCTACGGCACATGTCACTCGAGAAGCGAAGCAGAAAATCGTGTTTTACTACTTATTGTTGTTTCATTGGTCTTTTGGTTTCAGTCAGCAGTTTTTAGGTGGGAACTTTTGGTAGCAACCGAACGAGACTTGTTTAGAGATTCCTGCATTGGGTTTTATCGCCAGCACACCTACCTAGATAGTACGTTTACCTTACAAATACAAATAAAGATGATCTATATTGATACACAAGAAAACAAACTCGCCATCTGAAGTGTCTGGATACTGTTGTGGTTGGCGAAGTGACAAGCAATCCAAACGGCTTACCTGTTATAGAGTCAAGACCAAGTCTAACTGTTACATACTAGCTCTTAAGACAGTGACCTCCCTGTAAGACGCATCGCCGCCTTCGGTGAACATCGACCCGGTGTGGTTATTGTACGTCAAGTCGGCGAAAGCCTCAACAATCCCAGCAACCACCTCCGCCGCTCTCCCAAACTCTAAAGTTCCCAACTCGGCCTGCAACAGCGCCTTGGCTGTCTCCGGCAGAGTGATGTTCAGAGAAGCAATGAGAGTCGGGAAGTCGGTGAAGCTTGCGTGAACGGTCCCGGAGACGCTCAAGTCGGCCTTCTTGCCGCGTAGAGCGCTGTAGAACTGGTCCCAGGTGGGGTCTTCGGCGGCGTGCCCCGGTCTTCCCACAAGCGCGAATGGCCGATCGAGTCCTTCTTCGAGGGCGGGGCTCAGTAACTTGCCGTCGAGGTCAACACCTCCCAGAATGCGAGGGTTCTTCAACATCGCTGCGGCTGCGGTGGCACCGCCGAGGGAGTGACCGAACATGATGGTGCGGTCGAGGTCGATGCCTGCCTCGTGATTCTTGGACAGATGGGAGAGAACGAAGGATGTGTCTTGAGCCCGGACCTGTTTCATTGTAAGTAGTCATTCTACTGAATTCGCGATTTTGGATGTATTACCTTGGTGAGAAATTCCAGCTGTGTTGTATTATCGGTGTCCAGGTTGACTGCCGTGTAGACGGTGCCGTCGGGGAACTCGACATATGACGGGTCGTAAGGATGATCGATGGTAACAACCGCGAAGCCGCGACTTGCAACTTCCCGTGCCATGGCGCCGTACAGCAACCGCGGATTGCCCCAGCCAGGCGAGAACAGCACCAGAGGGAACTTGGAGCGGGTTCGTCGACAAGCCCGACTCTTTGTCTTGCAAAACTCCATCTCAAAGGAGGAAAACGTGCCGTTGGGAAGATCCACAGCAGTCCCAAGCTGATCGTAAGCCTGGGCGACCAGCTGCGTCATGTATGGCACCCTTTCCCGGCCATAACACGGGGTCTTGGCCTCGTCGACGGGAAGGAAGGTCGAGATCATGACTTGGCGGGCGTGTGAGTTGTTGCTGGGCGCGTATGGGTCCATCCGGGAGTGGTCGGTGAGGCCCTGGACAGACATGGAGACGGCATAGGGCCCGGTAGGCGGCGCCACGAGGACGGCCTGTGCAGATGAGGCCAGGAGCCAAAGGATGTAATTGTTGAACATGGCTGTGAAGCTTGAGATTCAAAAAATGATTTTTGCTGGGCTTTTGGCGATGTTTGAGACGAGTTCGAGTTGTTGATGAACTTTCGAATTTGAATCACGAATTCGAATCATCTTATACACGATACTTGCCAACTCGCGATGCCTTACGGTTGTCATTTCGCACGATTGCTTCCCATATTGGGCAAGCGGGATGGAGTTTGATGGGCTGAGAGACCCCAGCTAGCGACTGACAAGCGGTTCACCGTTCATCTCTTCAATCTCTATTTCAGCTGAGGGTACCTCTGTTATGTGATTGGTGAATAATGCCCATTTCCGCCCTGTTTGTCGTTAGCGCCGCCCGATTGCTTCCATTTTGGGCTTGGTGTATCGACACAGCCCTCCACTTCTAGACGCATGTCTCTGTCGCTCCCAATGACTACTTCATGCCAGGCACTCTTCAACGTGGCTTACTTCCCAGACGAACGGCTTGTTGCCATCTCCAGAGCAGGAGAGCATTGATACGAAAATTTCACTTGACAGAGATTTGCCTAAAAAGGTGCTGGTCTCGCGGTTGATGTCTCTAGGTCCATTCGATCGGCGGACCAGGAGGTCTCGCTGCGTTGCGTGCGCCACAAGTCACTCCAAGGTAGGCGGCCTATGCATCGCCAACACGCTACCTGCGCAGCTATTCATCATTTGCTGACTTGCCCCAGTGTTCTGGCTTGATTCCTTGTGCAAGATGTCAGAAACGCGGACTGGAATGCTTTTTTCCAGCGTCGCCGCCTGAAGCCAAGGGTGCAGTTATCAAGCTAGAGAGAGGGAAGATCCACACGCCTAAGGACTTTCGACCTCCAATAGTAATGCGCCCTCAAAAGCCTTTGTCCGATGTCACGGCCGGTTATCTGTTCTACTTCGACATGTTTGTACGAGCAAATAGTTTCACCGGACGAGAGCCATCTTTCATTTCTGACATCCAACGGTTGACAAAATCCTCTGCCGATGTGGTCCCACACGCGAGTCGCTCGCTGTTCGATGCCATGCTCGCTCTCGGCGCCATGCAAGCCCACTCTCTGGGCGCTATGGCACATAACAACAACCTAGGATTCGCCTTGCGGTCGTATCAGCAGTCTCTTTTTGAACTGCGCAGTGCCGTCTCCAACTTTTCTCCGACGCGGAGAGACTCCATAGCCTGGTCTACCTTCTTTCTTGGCCTATTCGAGGTGAGTGAGATTGGGGTATTGTCAACCTTGGTCCGGGCCGAGTGCTGACCGTATCTATAGCTGCTGCAAGACGCCTCGGGACAAAAGTGGCTTCAACACATGGTCTTTGGCACGGCACAAGCCCTTGTTGCCAGCGGTCCTGCGGCATGTAAGTCGGGCACGATGAGGACGTTCTTCATCCAGGCGTGCACGTTCGAAGCATGCAGGTCAATCATTTTCAATCAGCCCAGTTTCCTAGCAGATCCGGAATGGATTGACCTGACAGATTGCCTCTCGACCAATTTGGATGAGATTCTCAAGTTGGTAGTACTAAGTTCTAATTTGCGTGTTCGGTAAGTTTCACCAGACTTTAGCATAACAGGTAAGAGACTGATACATGAATGTGAAGGACGGCCGAATTTACAGGCAAGGCCTTCCCAGCTCAGGCAACGTTGAACGTCCATCTGAGCGAGGGCCTGGAGTTGGCGACTGAGGGTTTCAGCCTGCGAGAAACACTTGATTCTTGGATATTTACCACGTTGTTTCTTCCGGAATCAACAGAGGAGAGGCTGCTGTCAACCGCATATCACTCAGCCACCAGCATCTATCTGTCAGGGAATTACGATTATGACCTGGCACACTGGCAGGACCTGGGCGTTGCGGTGCCGATATTGAGTGCAAGTCGGATTGAAGAGCACTTTGACGCCATCGTTGCGACAGTCAAAAAGGCTTTGAAAGGGTCTAGTCTGTCGCCATTGCTGTTCTTGTTTCCGCTGAGGGTTGCCGGGGCACGTGCGAAGCAGCGTCAGCAGCGAGAGGCTGTTATTAGCCTGTTGCAAGTGATTCGACGCGACTTCATTGTAGCAGATGCGATGCTGGAAGAGCTGAAGGAATTGTGGACTCGGACTATTGGCTAAGGGTAGTGCCATGTGTTGGGGCGACGAGGACTGGAATGCCGAACTTTAATGTATTTCCGGTCAAATATCATGTTGTGTTACTTGTTACTTGCATCCCAACTGGAACGTGACTTTGTGTTTCTCAGGCTGGGAAGAGAGGGCTCCCAGGATTGAAGAAAATGAGACTAGGTGACAACGGCCGATTTGAAGACAGGTTGTTCAGAGCTCTCACAGGAAATAGGAGAATCTTTGGTGGCAGAGTCTGTCACAAATATCGAGTGGTCTTTGGTATGGTGGAATGCGTACTTCCTGTACAGTAGTACACGTACACGTATGAGGTGAGAGCGATTTCTCATGTCAAGCAACGCGTAATGTTTAACTCGACGTTGGTTTAATCTCTGTAGTCAGCGATTCCAGCTCAGATAAGTACAAAGAAGCATAGCACGCACGAAAACCTGACCGGAGAAATACACAAATAGGGGTCAGGGGCTCTGTTCCAGTTGTAATTCGGGTCTTGTCAAGCGAGAAAGGCGAGCCTGTTTGGGCGCTGATAGGTGAATGCTACATAGAGGGATTGATGGAAGGAGAATAATACATGGAGGTCGTGAGAGAGCATAATCAAGAAATTAGCTTGGCATAGGAAGCGGACTATCTTATCTCTTTCCAGCTTTCGTCTTCTTTGCTTGGCTTTTTATGCTAGTTTCCTACGGCAGACTTCCTTTTACTAGCACATCCCATTGACTCTTAATCACATACAAGGGCTAGAATGGGCTGGGCTTCACACATAGGAAACAGTTTTTCCCCACAAGTCAATTAAAGATGGCAGAAAACTTACCAGGATTATTATACTTTCCTCTTTGATAACCGCAGGTATTTGAAGCTCGATGGCGGTGACGATGAGCTTCTCAGACTGCCGTCCGCATCAACCGACATGTGAAGGCCGCGAAACGAGTCCGGTGGGGACCCAGCTACAGGGGGCCGTGATCCAGCGCAACAACGACCGTAATGTCGTCATCCCTCCTCTATCTTCGTGTCGGTCAAAATGCATTTCGCTCCGTCGCGTTAAACAACAAGAAGCGAGTCCGCCAAAATGCATCGCCGCCCGAGAATAAGGCAGGACGTCGGAACACCCGGCCACGTCCACCTCCAAAAACTCCCGGCCTCGACAACCGACAATCTGCAACACAAAGTCTCGAACGGCTCCGAGTCGGAACCCACGGCTGGGTCGTCCCCCCCACCCCCACCCCCGGTTAGCGCACGCCCCGCTGGCCATCACGGCATTTGGCCCCGGGAAAACAAAAAGGAGGGAAGGGGCGCTGGAGGAGGGGCGAAGGATGCGAGGGGGAGCTTTTCTTTCGCGACCGCACGGTGTGCCCGTACATTTCCGAGGGAAGCCGGCGGGGCAACAGTTCAGTTACCGACCTGTGGTTTCAAGGTAGGTTTTGCGTTTGCTTTTTTTGGGTTCTGTCGTCTGATGAAATGTGCAATTGGAATCCCAAAGATTGCGCATCGTTTGACTCAGTCTTCGTAAATCATTGCATACACCGTAGAGACTCGCCATTCGGGCTGGTGCTCTCCGACAGTCTCCGTCGCGACACAGGTAACACCATCCAAAGGCCCCCCCACCATCCCTTCTCCAGGGAATACCCGCGCCCGCGAGCCGAGGATGTTGGTGTCGTCAGTCCGGAAATCCCGCCTAGCTGCACACGCACAGGTGTCACTGTCACATTGCAATCAATCACACTTTCAAACGCTCCGTTGAACAGAATTTTGGGATCTATTTTTGTGTGGGCTGCGCCGACGCCATTTGGTCGTCGCGCATGAGGGGGGGAATATACAACAACAACTGTGTCTTCAATCAAACAATGCCTCCTCCGATGCTCGGAGCAAGATGCCCAAAATATGCCAAAAAAGAAAAAAAGTAAAAACGTGGAAAAATATCATTCTAAGCACCGGCCGTAGATGAATGCATCGCATCGCCCCATATCCCTTTTCTTGGTGGGATATGTCCATTACTTAAAACTTGTTCTGGTTCGCGTTCTGCTTGAACATGGTCGCGTCGGGCTTGTACTTCTTGGACACCAGGCGGACGTCGTACTCGACATCCAGCACCGCACCGTTGGGCTCGTCCTTGACGGGGACGAAGTCGAGCAGCAGGTCGGGCTTGACGGCGCTGACGGTGTCGGTCTCGAGGTAGGGGTCGTCGCGCGGGTACAGCTGGGCCGTGACACCAATATAATCGTCGTGGGTGACCATCATGTGGATGTGGGCGGGGCGGTAGGGGTGGCGGCCCATGATCTTGAGCAGGTCGGCCGAGGGGCCGGTGGTGTCGATGGCGTACTCGGTGGGCTTGAGGCAGTAGAACCAGAAGCGGCCGTCGGCGTCGGTGCGGAACTTGCCGCGCAGGTTGTGGCGGGTCTGGTTCTCCGGGTCGAAGACGTCGTACTTGCCGTTGGTGGAGGCCTGCCACATGTCGAAGACGGCGTTGGGGATGCCCTTGCCCGTCTCGGCGTCGTAGATGCGGCCGTGGAACTTTGTGAGCTGGGCCTTGTTGTCGTTGGGCATGTTCTGCACGACGGAGGCGCCGAGGTCGCGGAAGGGGGTCTCGGGGGACCAGAAGGGGCCGAGGATGGTGGAGGAGGTGGGCTGCGCGCCGGACTCTGTGACGACGTGGTTGTTGATCTCGTCGACGAGGCTGTTCAGGAGTCATTAGACTTGATTTTCATTAATGGAGGAGTGACGAAAAGACTTACGACTCAATACCCAGAATGTCCATGACTCTCCAGGCCTCGTTGCGGTTCTTCTTGTAGGCCTGGCCGATGGAGTTGATGTAGTTGACGCCGAGCACCCACTCGTCCTGCTTCAGCTCGACCTCCCTGCAGAAGTCGTGCATGTGCCTGATGAGGGAGGTGAGGATTTCCCTGTG